AATCTATCAGTATTGTTACACCAAATTGTTTTAATGGAGACTGCAAATAATTCCAGCTTGAACCAAACTGATGAATGACTGGATATAGGTCTGTCCTTGGTTTGTACGATGCAGTAAAATATTTTTTGTAATGTACTTTACAGAGCATTCCTTACCTGGGGCCCATTTATGGAGGCCTGAGGGAGGGGACGTCCATCTACCTGCAGGGCTCCATCCCCGAGAACATAACCAGGTGAGTTAAGCCATGCAGGATAAATATAAAACATAGTTAAGTCATTTCAACATATGTTCAGTCTTGATATTTAATAACAGCAGCTTCAATTCTCTGAACCTATTCATATAACCCAGTTTATTAGTTGATCTTGTGGGTGTGTGCAGTACATACATAGGTGAGTGTGTTATCAGATATATCCACACATTCTTTTTTAATCTTTAACCAAAACCTTTTTAAAACCACAGGAACACCCTCTGTAATCAGTCTGGGTGGAGCAGGTTTGTGACCCTCACGGCTCCACTTTAATCGTCCATCCCTCTTTCAAAATAATCATATCTGAGTTGTGAAAGGTGCTTTTACAGTTTGTCAGCAGACAAAGTAAACACTACACATACCTGAGTGTATCACGACATGTGTATTTTCTTTATGGAGACAGATCGTCATGTTTCTCTGCGGCTCCACCTGCACTGTTTGCATTTGTGCTGTTCCCTGACACTGAGCCAACTTCACAGTCGCCTCAGGACTCGCTGATGATGTAACGTCTCTGCTTTGCCTCTTGATGCTTTCTGCAGATTCTTTATCAACCTGCTGTGCGGCGAGTCCGAGTCCAGCGATGTCGCCCTCCACTTCAACCCTCGATTTGACGGCTGGGACAAAGTGGTCTTCAACACTTGTCAGAATGGATCCTGGGAATCGGAGGAGAAGATCCGCAGCATGCCCTTCTGCAAAGGAGAGCCCTTTGAGATGGTCATTATGAGCACGTCACAAGGCTACCAGGTGAGACCAACCTGAAGGTCACACATAGTAATAATTATAATAAAATGTCTTTCCTAAATGCAGTTTTTAATTTTGTGAAAACACATTTATATATAACTCGTCCATTATGAATTATATGAATTTAAATGACTGGCTCCATTTGTTTGCTGTTGCAGATCAAAGTCAATGGAAACGACTTCCACACCTTTGAACACCGTATTCCTCTGCAGAGAGTTTGTGCGATGCAGATCGCTGGAGATGTTTCAATCCAGACCATCAACGTCATTGGGGTGAGACCTTCTGCTTTACTACAAGAGCGAATCAATTCTGCAGGAATAATAAATAATACAAAAAAATACACTTTCTGCATCTGTGGCATTGTGCATGAGGTGGCATGAAGAGTGGTAGAGAGTAAAACTGTTACACCTTGTGTTTTGCCTTTCAGGGTGGAATGGGAGGAGGCATGGGAGGAGGCATGGGAGTAAGTGCATGGCAACTAATAAAGAATTATTGAATTCAAAACATCATTGTATATATTTTTAACATGTTCACCTCTTAACAGGGAGAATATCCAGGAGGTGGCATGGGGGTATGTTGATGTTGGAAAAAATGTATAGATATAGGTAAAGTCAAATATTGATATTTGACACATATTGATATTTCATTAACATTTCACCAACACTTTTTCTGATATCCAGGGAGGATACCCAGGAGGATACCCGGGAGGAGGCATGGGAGGAGGCATGGGAGGAGGCATGGGAGTAAGTATATTTATGAGGATTTTGTTTTTGAAAGGATTTTTTTTTCCAAGCGTCTAAACTAAATAGAGATTTTAACACATTCTCCTCTTTTCTCAAGGGAGGATATCCTGGAGGCGAAATGGGGGTGAATTAATATTTTGCTTTATTGTATTCAATATTCAAATTCATACAATGGTATGATGTTTATCATCAGTGTGTCAAAAATACACTGACAATACAAAGTCACGTTATATTTCCGAATTTAAACATGTCCTTTTTACAGGGTGGCTATCCAGGAGGCATGGGAGGTGGAATGGGGGTATGAAAGATGTCATGATATCATAATATAATTTTACTTTTGGTATTTACGTATTGTATTGTTTATATAAACTAAGAAAAACCAATTTGCAACAGTGTGGAAGCATTTAAAGGACTGAGGGATCAAGTTCATTAAAGTTCATACATATTTTCTTTCCCTCAGGGAGGATACCCAGGGTCGAACCTGCCGGTGAGAAAGTTGACACGTGTTCTATTTCTAACACACTTTCTTCCTTGTGTCAATTCTACTTAATACTGTTAATTTTATTCTAGGGTATGGGTGGGCAGCCAGTCTACAACCCTGTGAGTAAAACTTTCTCCACACTCATGTGCATTACAATTTATCTATTGTAAATTAAGATGGACAACACGTCTGCATTATCTCTCCCGGATTCTGGTGCTGCCATTTTTGTGACGTCATTAGGAGCCACAGGCAATAACCTGCTGATACATGTGTTTGACCAATCACGAGTCAGTCTCAGCTGTCAATCATGGCGTCTTTTCAAATCATCAGTTATCTAAATAACATCAGTGTGATGAGAATCTACCTAAAATAAAAACATCTTTGGAACATGTTGAGTGCACTTTGATCCATGTCCAATCTGTTAACATAGAGAAGGTGGGGTTTATGACCTATACTGTAGCCAGCCACCAGTTGGCGATCAAGCTGTACTGTCGATCTTTATTTACAGTATGATAACAGTCAGTGACATAATGAGGTGTTTTGATTTGTTAATAAATTGTCATCAGACTTTGGCTTTGATTGTGGTTTTTTTTAGTATCACTATTCCTGTAGGCCCCCTTAACAACATTACTCTCCTCTAGTGGTGACAGAGAGGAACTGCACAGTAATGCAAAGACGAAATGCAGTTTAAATACTGTTGAAAGCTTAGTTGAGTGTAACATTGTAGAGTTATATAATAAATACAAAACTCCTCCAGATAAGTTTTGAACGTGAGCCTGATGCTTAGAGATAGATACTTTACAATCTAACAGCCCTGAGGGTCAAACCTCCCAATCACACAGGTGCTGCTATAGAGTTTTAATATTTGTATTATTTTCCCTGTCTAATGTGTTTTTGCTGTGTTTCAAGCCTGTGCCCTTCGCCAACATGATCCCAGGAGGGATGTTCCCAAAGAAGACCCTCATCATCCGAGGCATGGTGCCCTATGGTGCAGACAGGTGTGTGTTTGTGAGTGTGTACGTCGCCACGGTGCAGCATGTGCGTGTGTGCTAACGGACACTCACTCCTGTGTGTGTTGTAGAATGTCCATCAACTTTGTGGCTAGCAGATCGCGGGACATCGTTTTCCACATGAACCCCAGAGTGAGGGAAGGGGTTGTGGTGAGGAACAGCATGATTGGAGGAACCTGGGGTCAGGAGGACCGAGAGCTCACCATGAACCCCTTCATGGAGGGACAGTACTTTGACGTAAGTCATGTCTGTTTTTCCTCCTGGATACCTAGTCTTCGTTATAAATTTCTACACTTTTTCATGACTTTGTGGTGTCTTGACGTTTGTGTCTCTCAGATGTCGATTCGCTGTGGGAACCAGAGGTTTAAGGTGTTTGTGAACGGGCAGCACCTGTTTGACTTCTTCCACCGCTTCCAGTCCTTCAATGAGATCGACAAGCTGGAGATCGATGGCGACGTGCAGATCTCGTACATCCACTTCTGAGAAGCACTGATGTATAAATCCTATGTTTCATGCATGTGTCAGTGTTGTTCAATAATCCTGCTGTATGAACACAAATCTAAATAAGACAAATGGTTACCTCATCATCTGTGTTACGCGTGGAGTTGATTCACAAGCCACCAACATGCTTGATATGAAGATTACACACATAAGATCCTTCATGAATGAACACTTTTATTTCATATGCAAAATACTATATAGCACTGTATAAAAAATCTGTTTACAAATCATGACAGTGATGATATAAAGGCAGTTATAGTACAGTCTTCCCCTAATTCAACACACCAGGAGAATCACAATCCACACAAGTCTAATGTGGTGCAAAATACTGGCTTTCTGAAGGCACTTGGTTAAGTTCAATTCTGAGATTTAATGCTTGAAGGTTTATATTTTTCGTTTATCTGCTGTGGAAGATCGTTTTTCTTTTTGTCATCTGGTCAAAATCCTTTTAAAGTTTTTAAATGTGTTAACATGTCCTTGTGATTTTTAAATAATAAGACATATTTTGAGTGAAATATACAGTCATGGCTGAGTAGTTCAACCTTCGGTCACACATAAGCAAATGCAGGCAAATATCGCTTCCTGGATGTCAACGGTGTGGAATGTGACGCAAGTGGAAATCAGTTGTGTGCTCTGTGGTTGATGCAGAATACATTTAGCGGTCTCTCGACTCACAACATGCGAGAGACCTTCTCTTTAAGAGGCCAATTGTTAATTTTCATGTACGACATAAAGTAATGGCTCATTCGATGCAGTTTATATCTGCATCTCCTCCATCCATCACCCCCAACTGGGTCAACCATGCAAACGTCTTGAGTTGTACAACTTAGGCAACTGAATACAATTCTCATAAGTGGAGAAGCCTTTTGGACCAGTTGCCAATGAACTATTGTACAACTCCTGAAGATACCAAGACCTAGATGACAGTCTTCAGACACAAATGCTGTTGCTATTGGTTAACGTCATTATTCTAAGTTCACCAGTTGAACTCCATGGAAAGCCATGCTGCGGATTTGTTATGCCACAAGAAGCAAACTGGTTTATTTAACCCCATAGAGCACGGTCACACATACGTGAATGCAGCAGTGGCAAACGTTTGCCTTCCGTTCACTTCCAACCTGTGTGAGCTTTGGAATCACTTTCCCACAGGAGAATATTTAATTTGCTTCCTGTGGCAAAGCAAATGTGTAGCGTGCAGCTCATCAGTTGATCTTTGACAGGCAACATTTGCTTATGTGTGACTGTGCCCTAACACTAACAAATTCAAACAGATTCAAACCTAAAAAAAACAATCCTGTCAACTTGCGTTTGGAGTCAGTAGCTGCAGGTGGCGCTGTGACGGTGGGTAGGCAGGGATCAGGGGTGGGGCCATATTAACATATTTATAGAACCCAGTAACAAAATGAGAAAGGAGGGTGGAGAGTTGCATTTCAAACATATTAAGGCCATTATGGAAATGTTTTAGGAGGTGTAATAAACTACTGGGGAGAGACTTTAAAGAGCAAACAGTTTTTAACACAGTGGTCGGAGCCTCTGCATAAAACCATTAAAACCGGTGAAATATTAAGAGACCAGATTACACCAGTACCTTAGTCTCAGCATCACTGTCTGTGGTTCACAAACAATGTTGGACGATCCCACTCTGAGCTTACAGCACCAAAGGTGTTGAAAGAAATGTACACTTTCTTCCAACAAGGATTTCAGTAATGCTACATTTATAACTGTATACCGTCTGATATATAAGTACCGTTACAGCTGAGAAACACAGCGCCTCATTCAAACAAATGTCATTCTCCAAAAACATGTTGGCACATGGTCAAGTTCCTTCTGACGACAGAATAATGAACTAAAGCGTATATAAAAATAAGTGCATGCATGATGCCAAGTTGCAGCTGAGCGTCCTCAGAACGCAGAGTCAGGATGATCTTCACGTACATTCAGTTTTCAGCTGCTGCTCTCTGTCTCCTCCTCCTCTTCGACTCTGTCTGGTAACTGTCTCTGTCTATTTACAGTGCCAAACCTCGCAAAAACAAAAGTCTGTATATACCCGAATAAAAGAGTGGCAGGATGATGTCAGATGACGAGGTTAGTCGTGTTTCCCAGTCTGTGCTCATTTACAGAAAACACTCCGACAGGTGGAGTGCGACACTTTCACAGGCCTTGTTCTCTGCCTTCAGGAATATACGAGTTGTTACATGTGGACTGAGAATATACAGAAAGTCATTAACATAAAAAAGCTTAAAGATATACAAATTATAAACATACGTCTATATAAAAACATTAGTGCAAAGTTGTAGAAAAAACAAACATCAGCATAAAAAAAAATACAAAATGTGTAAAATAACACTGTGCTTGTGCCAAAAGCAAATGTGAGGAGCTTCTCCTGCCATTTGCCTCGGGTGTATCCATCATTTCCATACCTTCCCTCAGTCCCTTTAGTGTCCATCCGTACCCTCTTGATTTGACTCGTACCTGTGTCCCTGTGGAGCAAACGTCTCAGCTTCCTGAGTTACGACAAAGACATAGTTGACTCAGCGGTGAACAAGTCGCCTTGTGTGGACGATAAATGTCTCACATTTTAATGCATAATGCACAACCAGCAGTAAAACCCCATCAAGAAGTTGCAGGGGTTTGTTAGAGCGCTACATCGGGCTGTGACACAAACCACGGAAGGTACAGCTTCACCTAAAAGCTCAGAAAATCCAGAGCGGAGTCTCATTTTCTCTGCAAATTTTGGTTTTCACTTGAATCTTCATGTGATGGAAAAAAAATCATATTTCATTTTGGCTGAACAAAAGAAGCTGTGACTCTGTACTTTAGTGTGAGCCAATAAATCTTGATGCTGTTCTTCAGTATAAGCTTAAAGCCGACAGTTGCCTTCAGTGAAAGAGACTCTGCTCCATGTTTGTGTTTTCCCTCTGGAAAGTTGAAGCTCCTGAGTTTGTTGAGTTGCAGGTTCGGTCTGGCAGTGACGAGCTGGTTTCACAGAGACGTTTGATTTTTTTTTTAGCTTCACTGTGTGCAGGTAGTTGTGCAGGTATGCTGTTTTATTGCTGTAGCGACTGGGAGTTAGTTTCTCTGATTGTGCTGCAGTGTGCAGGGGCAACAAAACTGGTTCACTCTCTGTTGTTGGGAACTGATCATCTGACACTTGGAATTATGCTTATTTTACAAGAGAGGAGTTGACAAAGGAAATAATCCCGATCCTTCATTTCCCTGGAATGTCTCCGGCTTTGTGTGTGTGCAAAATATGAAGATGTGTGTGAGGGCACGTAACGTTTCTTAGTCAGTAGCAAGAGGCTGGATCTAGTTCTTGGACAGGGGAGAAAGGACGGCACACCATGGCCGTGACCAGTCACTGTTTGAGAGTGAATCTATCACTGCCAGGGCACTTTTCTGGACCCTTCTCTGTCATCCAGCAGCTCAACAGTTGGCGTTGGAGCCGGGGTGGGGTTGGGCGTGGAGTGGCAGGACGGCTGTAGAGGCAGTGTGGCTGTGGAAGACGCCACCGGCATGTCCAGGCTCTCCAGGGAATCAGACAAGGCTCGGTTGGTCTCGTGCTGGGGACAGAGGACATAGCGATTGGGTTGGTGGACCTCCACCGTGGTCACAGAGTCCAGGCCCTTCAGGCAGAGAGGGGACGGCATCACAAGTGGGTCACGACCGCCGACCGCCCCGAGCTCCATGGAGGACTCGTCCATGTTGACATACAGGATCTCGTCGGGGTCTTGGGGGTCCGGCAGATCATCAAGGGCTTTTTCCAGCTCACAGCGCAGGGCCTCAAACGAGGGGCGGTCCTTAGGACTCAGAAGCCAGCAGGAGAACATGAAGGCGTAGCTGCAGAGGACAAAGACAAGTTAACAAGTTAGTGTTTGCACTTTGTTAAAAGTTGTAAAACACTTAATTTTACTGGTCTCTTAGTTGCTTTAGAGTTTGACCTCCACTAATATAATATATTTAATTTTATTGGACATTTATATGATTGATTGCAGTTCATTAGTCTTTTGCTCAAACATTTTCTAATTTAAACTTTAAGTATAACTGTGTACTTCTGTCACTATTAATAAATATTTCTCATTATTATTAGATTCCTCTTCCATAATTACATTTATATTTATCTTTTGTATCCTCTACTTTGTCATTTTACACTTCTTAATAATAATAAAAAACTAAATATTTATTTCCTCTGTAATTTCATAGGAAATTGTTGTCATTAGTAGATCAAGTGAAAGGTTTTTAAACTTGTATAAAAAAAAAAATGATGAATCTAAATCTTGAGGGATTTTAGATAAAAAATATTCAGTTACAGTGTATTTTTCAAAGAAATAAAAAATCTAAAGCACCAGCACCAGTTTAAAAGCCAATACACTGGCACTATATTTGTCTATCCTTGATTTCTTTATGGAAAATAAGGAATTTCAAATCTGATCTGAAAACATTTCGAAGGACCTTCACTGTCAGCTGAGTGTGTTTTGTGAGGAATGTGCAGAGACTCACATGCAGTCCAGACAGTCTGGAGGCTGTTTGAGACGGTTCCCTTGTCTCAGGTAATCATAAATCTCGCTGTTTTCTACCCCGGGGTACGGAGTCTGGCCCCGTGTGGCGATCTCCCACATGGTGACTCCAAATGACCACTGAGGGACAGACAAAGAGTGAGGGGGTTACTGGGTTTAAGTGTTTTAAATTCCTTTCACACACACACACACACACACATACATACACAAACAAACCTGAACACACACAACTCAAACATGAATCTGCTCTTGTCAAACACTGGCTGTGAAATAACACAGCCGTGTTTCTCCGGACGTCCGACTTCACACATATGTTACTAAAGACAGCTCATCATTTTTTATGTTTACACTGTGACCTGCGATTTCACACATGAACAGAAACCAGGCCTCCTTAAACATACATTATATATGCAGTGATATTATCAGCAGTGTGTATGTCACAGTTATAAATTACGCTGTACTTTTTTACTTTTATAAGAATTCATGTAGGTTAATACATTTTTAAAAACAAAAAAATTGACTTATTGTGTTTCTGTAACTTCTGAGGACATTGCACTTGTCTTACTTTCAGTTTCTGGAGGGGGAAACTAAACTTGATCTTATTAATGAACATTTACATTACAATCTACATTACAGTAACGTCAAAGCAATTATTACCCTTAATCTATTAATGCTTAAGAAAAAATCGATAATAATATATATATATATATATATATAGATAATAATAAAAGTTTGTGCACAGCTCCGCAGAGAGGAATAACACAGCAGTGCTGCGGTGCACGAACCAGTTGTTACAAAGAAACGGACATATTAGACGGTGCTTTCCACCACCATCATCTTACGTCACTCCAGTAGAGTTTTTTAGAATCAATGTTTTTTCTTTTGATTCTTCCCTAATTCAGGCGAGATATGAATTATAATGCAGAAGTGGTACAAAAAGTTTCTTTTTAGGTTGTGATTCTTGATTCACTACTTTGGTCTTTTGATATGTAAAAGAAGACATTCTGGAAGGAGGTAATAACAACAGTAATATTGAAAAAATATATTTATATAGCACTTTTGATGTCAGCTCAAGGTGCTTTCCTAGATAAAGGTAGTGAACAAGAGATATATAAATATATAAATAAAACATTTTTAAAAAGAGATAAAAGCAATGTTAATCAATAAAAAGGAAAGAAAAGATTGAAATTAATTAAAGCAGAACCGTGAAAAATAAGTTTTGAGCAGTTTCTTAAATGTATATAAGGTTACATCTCTTAAATGTAAACCCTGATGCATTAAACAGATTTATTCTCCACAAAACAATCACAGACACACAGGCGAGCAACTCACCACGTCGCTCTTCGTGGTGTAGACGCGGTCAGCCAAGCTTTCGATGGCGATCCATTTGACGGGCATCTTCGAGATCCGCCCCTGCCTGTAGTAGTCTCCGTTGTAGATCTTCTTTGAGAGGCCGAAGTCGGCCACACACACGTTCATATTCTCATTGAGCCTGAGGCACAGAGACACAGAGTCACACTGCTGCACATGGTGTAGCATTTTAAATCAACATTGGTAGCTTATCACTACATTTATTTGACACAGGCAGATTCAATTTTACCAACAAAAATGTAGGACCATCTTGCAGAAAATGATTCAATCTATATTTCTGTATCTGTATTTCTTCTGAATGTGCCATGCTTTTCATATATCTCATTCTTCTGGACTTCTTTCCCAAATATTGCTTTCGAACCAAATATGTCATCCTGTTAAAAATGTTCTTCCTTCTTGCATGCAAGATTAAAAAAGGAAAGAGCTAGAAGTGAGAACACATAAAGGAACTGAGAGAGGATATGGTTGGGGTTATGTTTGGGTAGAAAAAAAAAAGGGAAGCAGGGATTGTGCTTACATGCAGTTACGAGCGGCGAGGTCTCTGTGGATGAAGTTCTTGCTGCTGAGGTATTCCATCCCTCGGGCAATGTCGGTCATAAACTTCACTAGCATCTGAGAGGGGAGGTACTGCAGGACATCACAGAGAGAGAGGGGTGTAAGTCATGTCCACCGCAGAGTGCATGTTCTTTAATGCACAGCAGAGGACGCTGTAGTTCCCCTCCTTAAGTGCTCTCTTCTCCACACACTAACCCACTCCTCCTCAGGGAGGGAACAGGGTTCAGCACTGCTGTGTTTTCATGAATGTTTGCCAAACTCATGGATGTTTCAACATTCTGCAGAAATCTTGTTTTCATTAGGGATGTGATTCTCATTCTGGTTCTTCAGGGACTTATTGCGTATCACGACATCTGATTCCAAAAAACACTTCATCCATTAATAACTAAAACTGCAGAGACTGACGACACACACACATCTCATGTTTTCATGATCTCACTGTGTACACGCTGCCAGTGAGGTGTGGGTGGAGACTCCGTACTTCACATGTACGTTGAACTTTGGAGCCCATTTTGCTGACAGACTTATACACCCTGAACCCATTAAGCTGTTGAATTGTGTGTGTGTGTGTTTGGATTCAAACTTACCACTGGAAAGTCTCCGAGCCGTGAGTAGAGCAGATAGCTGTGCAGGTCTCCATGTTTCATGTAGGGCAGGATGACCACGGGGGAGGGGTAACCTTCACTCTCCACAGTCTGCAGACAAACACCTGTAAAAACACCTCCAATCAGTATTGAGCACATTGACACCAACAATATTCAGAATGATCAGAATCTCAGAAATCGTGTATTCTTAATTAATTTTAAAGGAGGATATGATTTCACCCCAGTTCATTAGTTCATTTGATGGCAGGATTGCACAAAGACTACTGAAAGAATTTTCACAAAACTTGATGGAAGGACGGGACATGAGCCAAGAAAGAACTCATTCAAAATCTTGGCACTGCTCTTGACAAATACAAAGTTATTCGTAATCCAGAATAAATACCAGACATATTTAAGGGACTGATAACCAAGTTTGTGTGCAATGTGGAGCGAATGTAAGTAAAAATGCAATCTAGCAGATTTAGAGTTGGCTTCAAAGGGGGTAAAGCTTTTTTTTAGCTGGTGTGCAGTCACAAACCTGGAACTACCACCAATGTGTATCTGAGATAATGTGGATTCAGTTGAGAATCAACTGTTCACATGTGTTTTCAATAGATTTAGAAATACGTCCAGACAAACATAATGGTTTTGATGCAGGATTTAAGGAGCATGTGGGCCTTGGTGGAGGTATTAGGTCCATGGAGTGTCATTCTGGTTTATCTTGAGATATTAATCTTCAAAAACATGTAGTCTTACCGGGGTGTGTTGCTATCATGATCAGTTCTCAACAGAAAGTAATAAATCAAAGTGTTGTTCCGTTGACAACTGATTTGAGGATTTTTCTAAGACACCATAAACCTGGCTGCAACTCACGAAGAGGAGCAGGGAATCCATTAATCGGAAGGTTGACGGTTCGTTACCTGTCTTCCCCAATCTGTGTGCCGAATGCATGAGTGATGTATGATGGAGAATATTTTGACCCCATGACGTGCGGAGCTGTGTAAATCCTGACTCACCCAGGAGCCTCATGACGTTGGGGTGGTCAAACTCTTTCATGCAGGCGGCCTCACGCAGAAAATCCTCCATCTCTGAGCGGGTACAGATGGCGACTGCAGAGGAGAAGGTGCAGAGGTGAGACCAAGAGTTTGAGAAGCAAGGCGATAAACTGTACATAGCCTGGTTAAGTGGTTGCCACGGTAACACATACTTTTATTTAAAGTATGAATTAATATACGGCAGCAGTTTTTACCACCACGTTTGTTTGTACTTCTTCGCCACAGTTTGAAACAGCTGGAAAACGTACAGAGGACAAAATCCATCTTCCCTCTTCAACTTTGGAGACTTTATACAACTCCCTTTATTTTGGCCTCATCGTTTATTGTGGGTCAACTTCTTCTTCTGCCAACATTTGTTACAAGCTACGTCTTTGTCTGTTTTATGATCAAAAACTGAGATTTTCACCCATAAACATTAATTTTTTTGGACCCGAGGGGACTGTCCATCAACTGGCTTGTGTTCCACCACATGAAGGGATCCATTGTGGTGATCGCTGAGTGCTTTCGCTGTCTACTCACTCTTCATCGTCTTGACTGCGACTTTGAGCGCAGCCTCCTCCTGAGTCAGCAGCCCCTCCATCACCGACCCGAACTCCCCTGAAGAAAACACAAACATACGCCCAGTTCAGGTGCAGTTTTAGCTGCAGTAACATGAAATGAGTGGTTACTTCACTGCCCCTGCACTGAACAGAGCTGTAATCACTCTGCAAACTGTTTGCACTGAACCAAGGGTCAAAACATATTTGTGTCAAAGGAAATCACTGGAGATAAGAGGAAAACAAGCATTTGTTCTCCCCCAGATAAATCCTGACTCTGTACTGTGCACCAGCCCTCATATAAAAAGGGTTCATCAGGAGCATGTTACTGATATGGTGCACATTATCAACAGCCTGTCTGAGGGGGCAGATGTTCAAAAGCAGCCAGGAAAGCAGCAGTACCTTCTCCAAGCGTCTTTCCCAGGGTCAGTTTATGTCTGTCCACCATCACATCCTGGAGCTTCTGCTTCAGCTCGTCGCTGATGCCCAGACTGTTCACTGAGGAGGAAGGGGGAAAAAAACAGAAGAAAGGAGATTTAATGGTGTTTGGAGCCCAAAGCACTTTCATGAATAAAATAGAAAAGAAAGAGAGAAACAACCAGAATGTACCGACATCAATCCCTCTCTTTTCCAAAACCACAAAGCTCGACAACGAGCCAAAAACAAAGTGTTAATAAACACTGCCAGACAAAAATAAGGCCGCAACTATAACAAGCCTGTCTGCATGTAAAACTCACGAAAACAGGCATTAAATCATATTCGTTTTCATGATGAATTTATTTAATATTAAATCTTGACTGTGTTTGTAATAACCTGTCTGTATTTTTAGATTGTTTTATCGTCTAATCGCTTGCCTTTGATAAACCTCTGTGCATGATGAGGAGCTGTGTAAATAAATGTGACTTGTCATTAGGAAAAAATAAAAGGAAGTGGTCCTGACATTTGAAGCTGCAGTCATAAAAATATTTGAGATCTATTTTTGTACAGAAAACCCAGTTTAAACAAAATAACACTGTTCAAAATGTCTATTACTTTTATTAGAGTCTGATTAATATCAGCGTTTTCCACAGAATGAATTCAAGTCATTGTAAAAAATGACTTTGAAAGGTTCATGATGATTATCAGCCAATTATTCCTCTTAAAATAGCTAATTTGTTTCCAAAATACTTCACTAAACTATACCATACTATACTGGAGTAGAATAGAATAGAAAGCCTTTGTTGTCATTGTACAAGAGAACGCAGTACAGTGAAAATAGAGGTGTTAATTCTACACAATGAACATTCATTAAAAAAAAAACAAGTTTAATATTTGAGATAAGACAAAACCAGTAAACGATGATGTAATCTAAATAAACCCTGAACTGAAGCTATACCAGACCCATACAGGCTTAATTAAAACCTAAGCGCAGTTGAAATAAGAATATAAACCTAAACAAAACTACACTAACATGAGGGTCACGGTGCAGATAGTATCTGACGTGGAGCCTTCCTGTCGCCTCAGAGCATTTTCTCAGGTGTGGGGTCATGTGATCCTGCAGGGACCAGAACAGGCAATGAGCTCATAACTTTTCGGAGTCTCTTCCAGCAGCTGGCCGTCACTGCGTCATGCACGTAGCTGAGTCCACTGAGCTACAGACGTTCCCTCTCTAAGCCTCCACATCTGGACCAAGATATGACAAGGCAACGACATGTTCGTAACCCCCCCCCCCTCCAGCTGCTGCTACACTATCAATCTGCCGCCTCTGTCAGACAGCGATGTGCTCAGTCCACAGGCATGTTCTAACACATGCTGCCGTGACCAGCTATTAGCCAATGCATAAAATAACCCCGAGCCCCAGGGTCCGACTCTGTCCTGAGAATTGACCAAAAACAACTGATCAACATCATCCCGCCCATACCCCTCCAATCTGACCCCGTCCTTCTATTCCCAGAATGCCTCTCACCGTTCACTCAGAGTGCACATTATCTCTACATCTCCTCTGATTTTACTCACTGGATACATTTTTTTCTGTTTCTTTTCTCTGCAGTGTTTTTGTCTCTCCCCCAGTCTCTTTGTGGCCGCGGAAAGCTGAGACCTGTGCACGACACAAATCTTGTGCATACGCCCGGGACAATGTGTGAAATGTGACCGTGTGTGCTGTGTTTACAGGTACGAGTCTGTGCCTGTAATCATGAGGCTGCTGTTATTAGAACCGCTGAAAACCACAGCTTTGCAGGAGGTCGTCTCCCACCTGGACGAGATGTGATGTTGTAAGGGAATGTCAGCTGACTGAACGCACCATTCACCTCTTTGATCAACCAAACAAACCAAAGACGCGATTCCTTTCTTGAAATGTTTGAGATGATCAAAAAGTTACACTCCTGAGATTTCTTCCCACCAAACTTTCCAGTCCCAGGGAATGTGAGGACTCTGCTACATGTCAGTATTGTTATCTATCCCGAGGACAGAGGTGGGTTGGGGCACGTCATTTACAAGGCACTCCAGTGTTTTAAATACACAGTGTCATCTTTCTGAAGAACATGCTGGGGCGGAGAGAGGAACTCACATGTTGCTTCTGTTGTCCTGCGGCTGTAAGTGCGGCGAGCACGGTACCTGACCACCAGCTCCCCGCTCTCCATCATGGGTTCAAAGGCCTCTCTGTGCATACACACACACACACACACACACACACACATCATACAAAACACAATGAGAGGTAAGTCCAGCAGAGACGTAAACACAGCTGAAAGTATTACATCGCTCCACGATTAACTTGATTGACTGGTGGTCTTTTAAAACAGATGTCCTCTACTCTATCCAAATCCTCACAGAAGTGACTCAACTAGGCCAAGGAAATGAAATAAAAAAACTTATTTTTTGGTTTGGCACAGCTACCCAGTAACTCCCTTCTACCCACGAGAAGAACTAACAGCCCACGTACCCAAAGCGCGTCTCCTTGCGGCGCAGCTTGGCCACGTAAACAGCCATGAGCACAGCGATGGACACGGCGCCGGCAATGGCCATAACCACGTACCACCAGTGCCAGGAAAAGGCCGGGGGCGACGACGGACCTGAGAGAGAGGGTGTGGACACAGACAGAGGACAGTTAAGTCTTTTACCATGAAGTGAGGAGTCAGGATTATGGAGCCCTGAGGTGACAGAAGGAGTGAGTTTTTTTAGATGTGTTTTTATATGTTGCATACTAAGTTTTCTTCTGTTTTATTTAAACTAAATTGGCTTTGGGAATAACAAAATTGTATTGTATTGTAAGTTCATACACTGACATGACTTTAAATAACATCGTAAACATTTCTAAGATTTATATGTAGAATTATTGTGGTGAAAAAATATGTTACATGGAATCAAAACTGACTAAAACCGTTCTCAGACATGAACTGGAAAAAGTCTTTTGTGAAGAAGCAGCAGCTGATTGTCAGAGTCAGACTCGTTCAGGAAAATGTCCTAACATTTAGGCGAGGGGTGGAGGAACATGACGTGTAAATCCTGCTGTGGAAAACTCAGTGTTTTTGTTTACAGCCCATCCACATTGTCTTGTTACAAATGAAGTCACCACGCCTCTCTCCAAATTTTCTCCAGCTGTATTCTCACACGGACTCACTCTAAAATGTTCCAGACATTTTGCAGGAAAAGTTGCAGAAAAATGTCTTAACAACTGAGATATTTTCATTCTCACATAAAGCCCCTCCTAAAAACTAAATCAGTGCATGTCTGAAAGCAGCTTTAGATAATCCACAAGTTTAAAATGCCAAATATTTTAAATATGTTCTGTTTGCAGTTTTTCATATGTGACAGGTTGCTGTGATATTTTATTTTATTTGACTGTAAATTGAGAATCCCTGTTTTAGGGCAGTGGTCATAAAACAATCAGCAGACATCACTTTAAGACACACTCTGTCAAAATGTAACGACCATGTTTTAACAATAAACTATTAAACTATTAGCAGTTATTCATTCACAGCCCCAGCAGAAGTTTTCAGGAAAACATCTTCAGTGCATTTCAGAAAACAGCTTCACAGTCTCAAACAAAAATGAAATATCTGTTCTCTTACTAAATAAATGCTCGTCTTTTCCAAGTTCTCTAAAGATGTCTGAGTTCTTTCTGTCCTGTCTCCCATGTCAATGATCTAGTCCCCTCCACCCCCGCTCCCAGCTCCTGCTCCACACTCACAACCTCCACCCACTGTTTTAAACTTTTCCTCCCATTCACACTCGTCCTCCCCCAACTTTCCCTACCTCTGTTTTTTCTCTCTCTCTCTCTCTCTTTATCTGTCATTCTTGTCGTTTGAATTGTCTGTCTGGCTCAATTAGACTAAGCAAACAGAGATGCAACACTGTTCCTGAATGTTATAAATATTTATGATGCGTCTCCCCATTCACAGCCCTCTCCCCCCTCTCCCCCCCTCTCTCTTCTCTTTTTTCTCTTCCTTCTCTTTTCCTCTGGACTTCACAAGAAGGAACTATCACTGAGGAACGCACTGACAGAGAGTGAGAAAGAGAAGTCCTGTGGTATAGAACATAACAGAGTGAGCTCACTTCCACTGTCAGTGTGTCCACAGAGGACTCAGTGGTTGCTGTGCACATGAGACGTCGGTCATTACTCACCTCTAAACTCCTCCATCTCTGTGGGAACAGGAAAACACATAGCCAGTGTCAATACTTTGACTTTCAGGAGAAAAACATAGTTTTTTTTGGTAAAACCCAAAATAGCACATTGGTTTTAAAATGTATCTGACACCAACAATTCAAATACTGAATCTTTTCAATGTATTATTCCAATACTCTTTATGATTTTAACAAAGAAAACAGGATGTTGTTTATCATTTTTAGTAGTAATAGTTTTTATAGTTTTACTCACCAGGTGCAATGAGCGTCACAGTCTGCATCGGGGTCCAGGGTCCCTGTCCGGCACCCGTGTAGGCACACACTCGAAAAGACACATTGGAAAGGGGGACAGACAGGTTGATTGACAGCTCAGTGTCTAATCCAGTGTCCATGACAAACTGTCAACAAAGGGAAAGAAAGTATCAAGAATCTGTGCCAAAACAATTTTACTATGTGGGTGGTGAGGGATTGGCTCCAGCTCCCCTTACGACCCTCAAAGGATAAGTGGAATGATAATGAATGGATGGATGGATGGAGCATCTGATGATATGTTGCATTGTGTGTAGTTGTGCATGTGTGTCTCAGACTGACCTGCTGAGTGACTGGCGTGCTGTACTCCACCATGTAACCCTGTAGTTCTCCATTCAGCTTCCCGGGAGGCCCCTCCCATGCCATCAGGACCTCTGTCCCATTCAGTGCCACGGTCACGTTCACAGGTGGGTTTTCTGGAACTGGTGCACAAAACAAAAAGGGACAGTAAGGCATTTTGGCTTGTAGAGCTGTTGCAAGGGGTTTTATAAGCATGTCGCTCAGGCTGCAAAGATTTTGTGTGTTATGAGACGGCAGTGTGTGTCTGCAGGCTCGGTGGTCAGAGGCCACTGGGCTGGGGGTTAGCCTGGCGTGTGTTGTTTTGACAGCCTGGAGCCTCGAGGGTGTGGATAACTACAACAACTGGAAGAAGAGGACGTACGAGAATGTTGAGAATTGGACTTTAATAGGACAAAAAAAGATTAGCTGAGTTCAGAAGCCAGTGCTCTCTTTCCATACACGGTCGGACGAGCTAAGATGGACGCACGCTGAGGCCTGTGTCGCCCTCCTTTATGCTGTCCTGACTCCTTCCCTATTTCTGCTTTGTATTCTCATGTCTCCTCCTTTTTCTTTTTTCTGGAGCAGAGAGCAAAAAAAAAAGGCTCCTGGCAGCAGAAATACCCAGTGGAGAGAAAATCTGAATGCTTAATAGCATACTAGAAATAGTGCGAGGGATGTTTGTGAGTGTGTGTGTGTGTGTGTGTGTGTGTGTGTGTGTGAGAGAGACAGAGAGATTGATGCTCTGGATAGCACAGAGATCCAAGAACCTTTTCACGAAGGAAAGAAAAGTGTCCATTTCCTTTGTTGGTGCTTGAGTAAGGACTGTCTTTGTCTTTGTGTCTCGCTCACAAAGTCAAATAAACAAGGTTGACGCACCCACACTCACACACACACACACACACACACACACACACACACACACACACACACACACATTCTACAAGTCAGTGTGAGTTTGGGAAACATGGCCCAGCCTATGGATGATGTTATCAGGAAGCGTTTGGCGGCTGATTGTTTCCACATGTGGTCCCTGTTCTTTCTGCCAGCAGCAACAAAAACAACCTCGGAGTCAAGTTTGTTCCAGAAGTTCGTCTCCACCTTTGTTCCGACGTCATCCGTCTCTCTCGGCCTCCCTCTCCACCTTTCTGCTGTGAACCAGCTATCTTTTCTCTTTTTCTCTCCATCCCCTTCTCTCTAAATTCCATCCAACACGATTCCATCTTCCTCTTTTCAAGTTTTCCTCTCCCTCGCTGCCCTCCCTGCGGTAATGCCTCTCTCTCTTTTACATCATGGAGCTATGAGCTCAAGTGAGCAGAGATGTCTTGAAAAAAGTCTTGTTGCACAATTTGGGAACACGAGATGTTAGCTGTTGTCTTTTCTGAAAACCAGAGAGAAAAATGGCCTCACGTTGCTTCTTTGTTTTCCACATGAAAGCTGCACTGGCTTGGCAACGTAGGCCGAGAAACAAACAGTTCTGAGGAACAATTAGTTCACAACAGCGAAGGTTAACATCTGCATCCAAGGCTGCCTACTGTTTTACAATGGGTTGTGTGCTGCTATTGAAGGAGCCATGTCGGTAACTATGTTTGGAAGCATTTAAAGCTGCAGGGCTGTGTGATGTACATCTCGTCCTATCTAGTCTCTCAGTGGTTGGCCTCGGCGTGGGTCGACATGTGGATGGAACAGGGTCATCGTTCAGCCAGAGTCTGACTCACAACCCTGGGATCTGTTCTCTGTTTTCCATTAATGAAAACAAACGCAGCACTGCACAGGAAACCTCTCAGATCAGTCCCAATACAAATGTTCGTGTCATCACAAAACTCTCATCAAAGCTCATGACGGAGCAGAATGCTGTCCTGTAATGCTAAGCTGTGGCATTTTTGCTGGCAGTAGCATTGAATGGAAATATATATGTAGCATGACTGTATGTGTGTGTGTGTGTGTGTGTGTGTGTGTGTGTGTGTGCATTGTGCCAGGTCGTCATGACTCCCTTCCATTAGCGTGGTGAGTTTGAGCGTCCCGTAACTCTGGATTAGTTGTGGCGTCACTTTAGAGGTACAGACAGATGTGACGTGTCAGAGCAGAGGTCCAATCAAAATTCAGCCACTGAAAATGTGTCATAATGTCCAATCATTACAAAATATATTGAAATACTACATGTGAAAATGTCCGTGTATGGCCAACAACTGACTTTTAAGTTAATGAAAGTACAACACAATAATAATTTCAGCAATATTTATATATTATGTGTAATATTATTTAGTTGGTTTTCTCATAGCACTGTATATAGGGATAATGCAATGTTAATGTTACGTAAAAAAACTAAATTTTGTGTGCATGTTAAAATGAAAAGTCTTAATTAAAAAAACCCATCTTAATGAATGAAAAGCTTTAAATGCTTGATCTTCGCTCTCTACTTTTGCTCGTTGGAGTTCACAGAATCAATTGGCTGAGTGAGATGATTTCCAACGCATGCTAACGATCTTTGAGTTTCTGGGGCTGCTAAACCATGCAGCGCCATTTTAGCTGAGGGTAGAAATGTTTAGACAAAATAGATAATTCAGTGCTTTATCAGTTATAGGCCTGGATCTTGATCATTTATAGTTATCTGGTGTTTTATAACCACATTGGGAGTTTTCACGCCCAGTCGTACTTAATTTGTTCTGTGCGTGGAAAGAAGGAACTTTCCGAAGTGTTTACAGAACAGACTTTTAAAACATAATCCCATAGCAAACTTTAGGATAAGTAGGGTGACACGGGTCGTTTGTCTTCCTCTCCCACCGACCAACCC